AAGATAAATTATTCAACACATGTGTTGTAAATAATTTCTGACGTTTGTCTGCTCGAAAAATATATGATAATTTAAAACGGACAAGGGTAACTCCAACATGACACCAGTTAGCCTCTAGGGAAAATTTTCGGGTTATGGAGTTATAAGACTAATGTGCAAAAGCTTTTGCCAGTTTTATGTCATTTGTAACAAGTTTATGAAAGTTTTATAATAAAATTTTAAAGTTTTTAATAAAATCTATGAATAATATTATGTGTAGAAATTTCATACCTATATAAATCGAGTTGCAGCCATTATATATAGCTGCAGTGTAGCTCTAACACGTAGTATATAACGAACCTCTAGGTTACGATTCAAAAGATTTGTTGGTAGAATTTGTTGAACTTCAAGGGTCAGCACATCCACTAATGATGAAAAATTCATCCGAAGTGATAAAGCAAAATTTAATAGTCTAGGTAGGAATCAATATTAACAGTGCGGTGTTTTCGGCTTACTTAATCTGCTACGCTGATAAGTATGGGGTAATCTTCTTAGGAATGCATTCTGAAAGCAGTTGTTCAGTAGTGAGCTTAAGAAGGCTCTTGATTTTTGGTACAGCCGATCAAAGTCCACTTCTGAATATAGGTTTACCCATATTGATTTTTTCTATAGGATAGGGTGACAAACGAGCACATAGTCAACCTGATGGTAAGTGGTTGCTGTGGCCCATAGACATCTACATCTATTCTCGTTTGCGAATCAAAATGCAGATGAGTTGTCACCCGTGAGGATTAAGATGGAATGCCTCTTTTCCAATAAAAAGGGTCTCCGGTTCTCTACACTCACCATACGAAACACGGCAGTGTTAAGCTGCTATTGAACGCTGGTATTCTTTGTCTCATACGAAGGATATTTGCCATAGCTGCCACGCTTGGCAGGTGGATTTGCAACCGCAGTTTTTTTATCTTCTTTTTGTTATTAGAAATACGCTGCTGCCCATTTCCTGGCAGGTTTCCCTATGTCGCCTCTTACGAAATCCACGGGACAAATATTTTTCTGTTCTTTATAATATTGTATCACTGTTGTCTGCTTTCGCTTGGTAAAGTGTTGGTGAAAGTGGAGAATAAAATCTTGGTTTACGTGGTATACTTCTCGGCATACTTTTACTTGACCAGGCAATAAATACTTTAATGATTCTTGTTGCTATCTTGCATTTTTATTTTACTTTTTATTACTTTTTAATGAAAGTTATAATAAGGCCAGTGACAATGGCTGAATATTATCGTACAGCTATTGTAAAACAGTCATAAGTGAACAATGGTCGCACTTTTTTGTAATTTTCTCCATTAGTAATATTTTAAAGAATGAAAAACCAGATGAATATTATAGAAAGACTTATTAGTAATTTTATTAATATAAGAAACTTGCAATACATTGAAAATATTATGCTAAAATGTGAATATTTATTTGTATTCAAATTTTATTTCATTATTTTTGTTGTTGTTTACGAGAATCGTGGTAGCTGAGGGGCTAAGCGCTTGATGCAAATTTCACAGTACGCGAGCAACCCGGGTTCCATCCCCGCCGGCGTCAATGAAATTGTTAATTGCAATTTTATTATTTTTGCAGCCGTGGGACGTATACAAACTGTAACTATCTATTTCTTGAAATTAGTTCGACCGTATATAAATTTTATAGTATTGTCAATTGATAGCCGATTTTAAATTTTGACGGCTCCGTGGCGCAGTGGCTTAGCAATGGGTTGCTGCGCTGGGGGGCGCGGGTTCGAACCCCGCACGGAACAAGTATTTGTATGGCGTACAAATAATTGTTCCGGGTCTGGATGTTTGTCCTTGTGCAATTTGTGTTTGTATACTGCCTCCACGGTACAGGAGAAAATCTTAGTGTGGGGGTAACGTTTTTTAAAGAAAAAAAATTTATTCTTTTTATTAAATAGATTATACTTCAGCGGTGGTCCCATAAAGCGTACAAAGATATGAAGCTTTTACTATAACTATTAAGACATTATTCATCATTCATCATCATGATAGAACTTCACAACTCTAAGACCAAAGAGATTTAAATATATCTACCTACTACTTAAATGTATTTGCCTAAGACGATATTGAAATTGTGATATACCTTAGACCACTAAAAATAGTAAAAAAATGAGGTTTTAATAATAAATAATAACTGATTTTAAAATAACTAAAATATTAAAATAACTTCACATTCTGTATTCTGGGCTTTAATTCTCCTATAATCTATGTTTTAGCACTGACGAATGTGAAAAAGTTATTTTCTATTTTATTCTTTGAAGCAAGCTTTTACATTTTATTGAAAGTTAATGTGTTAACCTTCATATATGATTTTGCATTATAAAACTGGACCTTGGTACAACGCTTGTGGTTAGAGGTGTAATGCGAGGTGACAATTATAATTACTCTGAACTGCAAAAAAGGATTTTGTGGTTTAGTAAAAAATATTATATATTTTTAATGCCACACGGGTCTTTTTTAAGTTGTACTTATCACCAGTCACCATCATACTGGTTAGCGGTTACTTGATCTTTTCTCAGTTTGTAATATAATAATTTTAATATGACCTATCACTGAGACACCGACTTCCTCTCGTTTCTATTAGGGTCGTTACTCCAGTAATTCCAGATGATACAATTCTACAAAATATTTTTTTCTCAGATATGCAGGTTTCGAGTGTCAGCTTCGTACCGATAGGCGAAGTGTAGGGCGACCCCCTACTAGATGGAGTGACGCCTTGGTAAAACATGCAGGCAGTAGATTGATGCAGGTGGCTCAGGACCGTGATTTGTGGCATTCCTTGGAGGAGGCCTATATTGCGCAGTGGACTTGTGAAGGGCTGTAATGATGATGACGATGCAGATTTCCTCGCGAGTTTTTCTTTATCGTTGAGCACTTAGTATGGAAGCGATTAAAAATTGCAATTTCGAATTTTACTGCTTCTTTGTATTTTTCATTGCAATTCTTACTGATCGAACTCATATTTCATACAATGTCCAACGTGACATCTACAATAATGTCATCTTTTTAGGTCGAGCGTCTCGCAATTTGGTATTCACAAGTCGAAGCAAAATTTTCAATTGCTGAGATAACATCGGATCAAATTCAATTTGACTACCATTAGTTATTGCCAACGTAGAAACCTGGATCATAGCAGAAGTAAAAAAACATACTCGATCAAACGTTCGATACAAATATTTTGAAGTGATTTTTTTTACAGGAGGGCTTTGAAATTCTGATTCGCAACCTTTTTGTGTGACGAAATGTGGTGGGGGTAAAAACTACGTACCGCGTTATTCGGGTCGATCATTTAAATCGCGGACGCAGGCCATTACATACCATAAAGTATATAGTACAATTACAATAATAAGTATAATCTTGTTACTAATCTATTAATTTTATTGAAGACAGTTACCAAGGTACACGTATTTATTTTAGAAAGAGTGATTGCATTTGTGTAATACCGCCATCTACTACATTATCTACGTACCACCATCATAGTTAATCAATTTTGGTTCGATAAAATGACTTTACTTATAAAATACAGTAGGTAGAAGGCGCGTTAAAAAATTAACAAGGTAGTGATTTTTGAATCACAATAGGGCAGAGCAGCGTTTATTTTAAATAATTTATAAATTTACATTTAAATACATTTTTGTTGACATTACATAAAAGTTTGGTTTAATTAAAATAAAATGACATAAAAAATTACATAAATAATAGATAATTACCTAATTAACACACGTTAATGAGTATTTTGTGTTACACTTTGATCTATAATAATTACTTCATTCACTGTGGTGAGTCCTAGTGTTTTTTTTTATAGGATAAGGGTGACAAACGAGTACACAGTGCCCCTGATGGTAAGTGGTTGCTGCGGCCCATAGACATCTACATCTATCCTCGTTTGCGAATCAAAATGCAGATGCGTTGCCACCCGTGAGGACTAAGATGGAATGCCTCATTTCCAGTAAAAAGGGCCTCCCGCCACCTGCACTCACCAAGCGAAACGCAGAGGTTAACCTCTACTTCACGCTGGTATTCTGTGAGGTCGTGGTACCACCCCGGTTCGAGCCGGCCCATCCGTGCGACAGAAAAAGCTGCCGCGTGACTCTACCACTGTTAAAAGTTGTGTTGCCTAAACCTATAATTTCTGTTCTTAAAATCGAAGAAGATGATGCACTGTGACACATTATATGTAAATATATAATTTTATGTAAATAAATGAATGATATACACAATTTATGCTATTCAAAAGTCATTGATGGATAATTGAAATGTTTCCATGTAATATAAAAGTTTAACTTCTATATTGTGTCTTCACGACACTCAGTTTTTTTTTGTATATAGGCATTCCATAGATTGCTCCGTAGAAAGGATTTACAGTTTAGTGACGGTGTAAAAATATTCACTACCCAATAATACCCATTTGTGTTAAAAGAGACGGTGGAGGGAAACTGAAACATGAGACTGTCAGCAATATATTCTTGTTCAAAGCTGAAAATAATTAAAAAGGTGGTTTCAAAGACAGATAGATTTTTAAAAAAATGCTTTATCCACACAAGAATTTTCTCCTGGGTCGTGAGGGCACTTTACATACATAAATTTCACAAAGACAAACATCCAGATCTGGAACAATCATTGTAGGCCATACAAATATTAGTTCCGTGCGGGATTCGAACCCGCAGCCCTTGGCGATTCAGCTCATTGCTAAGCTACTGCGCCATGGAGTCATCAAACAAGATAACTCTTTACTGCAGGTAACCTAAAGTTGTTACAATAACGGAAAACTTATGAACTACAAACGGTTTTAGCAACGTGCAATATAATAATTACTGAAAAAAAAAACTACTAATTTATTAAAATGTTCTCCGTTTCTGCGGAACAGAGTGTCCGTCGCTTAGTGAAAATGAGTAACTTTGAAAATAGAAAATGCGTCCTATGAGACACCACAAATAATAAAATAATATTGATTTATTGCAGAGTAAGGAGCTAAACGGCGGGACATGCACTCGCGCCCCTGATACACTGCCGGGACTTACGCATCACTACCCACACTGCTTGGACAGGTACGTTGAATTGAAACACCAAATTGAAATAAAACTAATTTTACGGATTGTATCGCGTATATTAACTCGCTCGACAGTGGCCGGCTTCACTTGTTCACTGTGACGTAGGCGCGGGACCTGAAGCTTATTGTCGTACAAAACTTGCTTGACGTGTTGGAGCTCGGCGAACAGGTGTTTACTGTGACAGATCTCTCGTGCTCTCTGAAACAAAGATTTACCCACGGTAGCTAACTGTGAAGGATGGTGATGAGAATCACAGTTTAAATATCTATCTGTATGGCTCTTTTTTCTATATACAGTGTGGCTCAAGGTGTTATCAGGATTCCGAATTACTAACGCATCTAGAAAAGCTAAAGATTTTTTTCCTCTAACTCCATTGTGAACTGAATTTTAGAATGTCATGAAGTGTTAAGCGGTACGTAGGCGACACTATCACAATTCTACCTTTAGATAAAGTAACTACATTTTTAGACCATCTTAACTCCATACATACATACATTAGAGATCGTCAAGCAAGTTTACATATGATACAATAGCTCGCCACGCTTCGGCTGACTGGCAGAGAATGCCGACAGACATTAAGTTCACCCTTAGTTGTAGGTGTAAAAAAAAATAATGTTGGGTCGTTGCTAGAGTTACCCGACGCAAAAATTGAGCATCCTGACAAATAAAAAGATTTCCATAGAAAAGTCCTTACATTTTGTTCCAAACGTAATTAACTACCTACTATGAAAAAAAATTGGTTTTGTATAGCGATCAATCCTTGTCGCAAATTCCATCCCACTAACACCCACTTAAAATATTATCTAGAAATATCGAAAAAGCTTGACATTTCTAAAACCTGACCGCAATTCTGATAAGTGCTTAAAATCCTGATATATGGTATCGTATCGTTGCAGATCGTCAGCGCAATGCGACGCGATGGGCGGGTCAAACCTTGCGAACGAGGCGAGTCCAAGCAGCTCGGAGGAATCGTCGCCGACGGAGCTGAGCTGCTACCGGAGGCTGGGCGAGCGGCCGCCGCTTATGAGACGCCTTGCGAGAGGACTCACGCTGCTCCAGCCATCTGACGACGACTCCACGCCGCTTGTCACCGATACTCCCACAACGTATGTTACTAATTTTATTGAATAAAGGTGATATTGCACAACTCTTATTTTGCTTTTAAAATCAAACATAATAATCATTTATTGTGGAATTTCTGATAAAAATTGTATTTTGCCTATTTGATCAGAATTGAATTTATTTTACAATTTTATAAGAAATGATCCTAAAGACAGTAGGTATAATAACAATTGATTCTGTTTTTCTGCCGACTTCCAAAAAGGAGACTCAATTCGACTGTATGTTTTTGTTTTGTTTTTATGTTTGTTACCTCATAACTTTTACTGGGTTTTATCAAGGTCAGATGAATAGTTTTTGAGTTATCTTAATAACTTATATTGAAGTCGGCTGTACAAAATTTTAAATTTTATATTATTTTTTATAGATTTTTTCTTATTTAGGCTAAAATGTTTTTAAAGTATTAGGTACATTATTTCACATTGTGTTGTATTGATTGGATGTTATTCCTACACCAAGTTAATCCGAAATTAAGTTGCATGACTCAATCTGTGAATGTTATGTACACTTGTAATCGATATGCATATTAGGGACTATAAAAATTTGTATGTTTTTGTGACAATGTCATATATGTGTGAGCTTCGTTGGTCTAGTGGTCACAAACGCGGGTTCTGATTACGAGAACACCGGTTTAAACCCCAGGCCTAGCCAAAAAAGTGGGGTTCGATCGGACCAAATATCTGTTATTGAGTTTTCCTGTCAAGACATTCTTGACAGCCGTGAGCCAGGAAATTGGTTGAGTTTCACGCCAATGCCTTGAAAAGCACGTAAAGCCGTTGTCTTGCGCTCGATCTCACCGGTTGTTTCAAATTACCGGTGCACGGGAATGTGAGAATGGGGGAATTGAGAGTGCACTTGTGGTTGCGAATACACTCGGCTACTATAATTCTGTCTTTCGTAGATGTGTAGTCTCCGTTGAGAATGGCCACCGTGACCAAAATTTGATTTGAAAGACTTTATTAATATTATCCCGTGTGGTGGCAGTGTAAGGGAATCCATCACTATATGTCGTTATTTTGACATCGTTGGAAATGATTTCGGGTAATGGCAGAAAAATCTTATGTCATTCGATAGATGGCGGTGTAAACATCAAATTTAAGCCAGTTGGAAAATACTCAGACCTACAATGGACAGCTGCGTGAAAGCGCGAAAAATTTGTACTACGATAGTCTATCTGCCTGCCAAGTTAAAACAAATCTGCACTACCACGGGAAAGTCCTATATCCAGTAGTGAACTTTTACGGGTTATTTCAACAAAAAATAAATATAAACTTAGTTTATAGGATGGAACATTTATATCAGTACCTGCATCAAAGACACAATCATGTACTCAGACAGACTCGTAGGCAGAAAAGGAGTCCTACCTCCTAGTATTTATGTTAGTTTAGTAAGACTGAGCGTAGGAAAGAGAATAGTACCTACCCAGATGGACTCGTAGGCAGCAAAGGAGTCCTAGCTCCTAGTATTTATGTTGGTTCAGTAAGACTGAGTGAAGGAAAGAGAGTAGTACTTACCCAGGCAAACTCTTAGGTAGAAAAGGATTCTTACCACTTAATTTTTAAGTAGATTGTAAACTGAATTATAGATAATGTGATGATGTTAAGTCGTAAAGATTGATAAAGCTTACATTCTGCCGCACTGTATGTGGCTACTGCAACTTACGGACAACTGAAATCAACTTTAGACAAAGAACAGATCAATTATCACAAAAGAACACCAATATATTTTATCTTTTACCCAGACCACACAGCCAGTAACTACTTTGGCCCTCTACAGGAAATTTACAGCATTTCTGATATAATCCGTTAAAATAAGTTTATTCCAAGTGAAATAATTGTGTAAATATAAAAATCGTTAATGAAAAGTTTGGACACTTCCAGACCCACAAACGTCCCGCTGTGTCTCAACAGCGGTTACATCAACGAGGCTTCGGAAGCTGAGGCGCGAACGCGGGAAAGCAACCGTGAACACGTGACCCGCGATCTGTCAACGCACTGTGACCTCGACTTTAGGAAATGCAATAATGTTGCCAATAGGTATGTACATACTATCAACTACATTGTAAGAGAATCTATCCGACATGCAGTATTTATTCATATATTTTATTCATTATTACACGAGTTTTCTGAAGAAAAGTTATTTCTATACATTTGAGTTCTGATTCTAATTACGCACTTAATAGGAGTGAGTGAATGAGTAAATTTCTTTATTTTGCAAATATGGGTGATACAAAATGTGGTGACAAATATATAGTATAGATTCCACCATATTTTACCAGAAGGCATGCAAAAATATTTTTTTATCAATTTACGAAGATATGTCATTCACGATACAATATAACATTAGATTAACAAAATTAAAAAAGTCTTCAAATTATATGTAAGTCTAGTCAATCGGTACATTATTATCACTATTATTTAATTATTCATTCCATCGTCAAATTAATTACATTAATAATAATACAATTTATTAATAAATATTCACGTACACATTTTAACACAACATTTTGTCCATTAAAAATTCATTGATATTATAGTACACCTTGTCTGCTAAAAAGTTTCGTAGCCTTGTCTTAAATAATGAAGTGTTGAGATCCCTCCAACACTTGGGTAATTTGTTGTAAACAGCCGGCCCCATACAGCAGACACTGTTGCGTATTAGTACTGTTTTTCCCTTAGGAATATAAACTCTACTATTGTCACGTCGGTTTCTTGGGGCAATGTCTGCCAGGCACTTAAAACGGTTCTGGTTCGACTTTACAAATACTGCTATCTCTAATATATATATACAAGTTAGAGTTAATATTTTATATTTTTTAAAATATGGCTTACAGCTATCGGTACTCTTCAGCTTAAACATGGAGCGTATACACCTTTTTTGGGCCGTAAATACCTTTCCTTTTTCACAAGAGTTACCCCAAAATATTACACCATATCGTAGGTATGTTTCTACCGTACCATAATACGCAGTAAGGAGTCCATCCGTACAAATTATAGAAGACAATATGCCTAGAGCATAAGCAGATTTACTTATATTTTTGCAAAGAGTCCTAATGTGCGATTTCCAATTCAATTTTTCATCAATTTCCAGCCCCAAAAATCTCGTGCTTTCGACTTCGGCAATGTTGTAGTTATTATATTGTATTATGAGTTTACTATTATTGTGTTTGCGTTGACTGAAATGTATAACCTTTGTTTTGCTTAAATTTATTATTAAATTATTGTGATCTAGCCATTTTATAATTGTTTTTAGGGAATTGTTTATGTCATATTCGTATGTATTTATATTTTTACAAGGTACTGTTATGGTGCTGTCATCTGCAAAAAGCGTCAAATTTTGTTTTGCGTATTTAGGTAGGTCATTAATATACAATATAAATAGTAACGGTCCCAGGACACTCCCTTGCGGAACTCCAAAGCTGACTTTACGTTCCGATGATCGAAATGTCTCTTCGTATTTATTAACTTTATTAAAATTCTTAATATTAGTTATTTGTATTCTATTCTTAAGGTAAGATTCTATAAGGTTAAGTACATTACCTCTGATGCCATAGGCGTGTAGTTTATATAAGAGTGTAGGGTAGTGAACATAATCAAACGCCTGGGTCATATCACAAAATATGGCACAAACTGGTGTTCTTGTGTCCATATTATTAAGAATATTGTGTACAAAGTCGTATATTGCCATATTTATTGTTTTACGCTGCCTAAATCCTTTCTGTTCCTCACACAATATGTTATGTTTTTCTACATATTTATATAATTTATTGTAAATGTACTTTTCAATTATTTTTGAAATTATGGGAATGAGTGAAATTGGTCTATAGTTTTCAATTAACTCTCTATTTTTTGTCTTAAATAATGGTTTTATTATAGAGATTTTTAAGGCATCTGGATATATGCCAGCACAAATGCAAAGATTAATTATATAAGTCAGGTGATCACATATCTCATTAGCAACATATTTAATTACCTTTGTACAAATGTCATCATAACCTACACTGCATGTGTTTTTCAAAGACATTATTATTTCCTTTACTTCATATGCTGTACTAGGCTCTAAAAACATAGAGTTAGGTATAGTGTTTATATTAATTGCTTTTGGTTTACTTTCAGCATGAAGTTTTGGCTGAATTTTATCGACAAAGTAGTTATTAAATACTTCACAAATTTTCGCTGGGTTCGATATAACTTGGCTATTTACCTCAATTTTATTTATATAATGTTTTGGAGTATTGCTTTTGTTTTGATTAATTATCTGCCAAGTCGTTTTTGACCTATTTTGGCAAGTTTTTATTTTATAGGTATTTTGTGCCTTTTGAGTTAGGTTTATAATTTTTTTGAATATAATAGAATAATTTTTAAAGTTTGTTTTATTGATATTGTTAGGTTGTAATCTCGTCAGCCACAAAAGTTTTCGTTTCTTTTTACCACATAATTTAACACTTCGAGATATCCACCTTGTTTTTTTTTAAAACATTGACTTTGTGTACGATAACCGGAAAACATAGATCATAAAATAGTTTAAAAGTATCGATAAAATTATTATATGCTACATTAGGATCATCTGTGCTGTAAATTTCTGAAAAGGAAAGGTTTTTTAGACAATCTTTAAACTTTAACATGTTTTCGTAATTATAATCCCTTCTAGTATTGTACCAGTAGTTAGTAACATAACATTTCTGAACTGGGTATTGTAAAATCTGTGCTGTATGATCTGATAATGCTAACTCTATCACATTAGACTTACACTGCTTATCAAAGCTGTACGCAAAGTTGTCGATGCATGTCATGCTGGCCATACGTGTCGGCTGTTTCAATGCTAATTTTAGGTTAAAATTAATAGCAGACACTCAAATGCTATTGTTTGACTATTACTTTTAAGTATATCAATGTTAAAATCTCCGGCGATAATAATATTCCTAAAGCGCATGTTTGATATATCTTGTAAAATAATTTCAAGTTTATTCATAGCGTCATTAAAATTGCTTACATTTGGTATTCTATATACACAGACGACTATTGTCTTATAATGAATCATTTCGACAGCACAACATTCAAGCACACCTGGCAATGATAGCTTCGCTATTGTTGGTAGCTCTTTCCATTGGTGTCCGTTTTTTATCAGGATACAAGTTCCACCTCTTTTTTCATCCTTTCTACAAAAATATGAAGCTAAAGAGTAATTCGGTACATATAGTTGATTTTCGTAGCCTTCCATTATAAAATGCTCGGTAATACACAAAACATCAACATTTAGTTGTTTTTCATATAGCTCACACAAAGGAACCACGGGGTTTCTATTACATATTTCATTCTTTAATAGTACTGTTACATTATGGCGAATAATGACGATAGAGCTCCTTAATTGTTACGTGAATACAAAAGTAATAAGTTTTTTAATTCTAGTTTAAGTTAAAAGAAAACTGTTGCCTGGTATATTGCACACTCTCTTAACACTCGACTCTACCCTTTTATTTTCTGATCTACATGTGAAAACTTTGTAATGGTTAATTTCAACATAAATTAATAGCAACAATTGATTTTAAATAACTTAGTTTTCGTAAAAACGATAAAATAAAAAAAATGTTACATATGTTTTTACGTGGTCGAGCCATTTGCTTTCACAGAATAGCAGATGAATGCCGCTGTGTTTCGTATGGTGAGGGTCTAAACTCACACTAGTTCTCTAGATCTGGAGACTCTTTTTACTGGAAACGAGGCATTTCATCGTAGTCCTCAGGGGTGACAACGCATCAGCATTTTATTTCTTAATCAAGGGGAGATGTAGACGTTTATTGATCACGGCATCCACTTACCATCAGGTGGACTGTGGGCTCATTAACCACCCTTATTCTATAAAAATGTGCTTTTGGGATAGTCGAGCAAATAATAAAAGTGTTTTGTTTCTTGTTCTACAGCAGTCCGGCGACAGGCAGCGGTGGGGCGTCGTCTTCTTCAGGAGCGTCCTCCTGTGGCACCTCGCTTGCTTCCGGCAACAACAACGCGCGCCCCGAGCCCGAGCTGCGACACGCGCCCTGGTTCCAGCAAGGCATTCCCAGAGAGGTGCTTATGTCATATGTCCAACAATCCACTACAGCCTTTAAAATTACCCCGCTGAACAGCCTGCGTACCTGATTTATTTGATTTATCTCAAATTTACATATTTATTAATAAACTTAGTGATTAGCTAACTAGTTAGTAAATATATAAGTGTACCATTATTATCAATAATAGTTTTATATAAGATAATAGTTTATATTTAATAGACCACAGCAAATAAATCATGTGTGTTTTCTGCTGTACGGCTAAAAACATTCACTTTGTTATTTATATTTTGAATAAATGAAAAAAAAATATAAAGTGCCATTTTGTATGTGTACGTAATTTAAGTTTCAGTTGCCAATCAATAAATCAGTGTATTATTAGCACTCAACTTTATTATTATATCATTTACCGTCCATGTCATTAAGCATTAAATATTACAGTGTTATGGAAATTCCCTACATTTTTTAGTCTTTCGAGCCGGATACGAACCAGCGATCTATCAATCGCCTAACATCCACTTATCAACAAGTAGCCCGTGTGCTAGTTTGTCACTATTATTGTATAAAAATCGTTGCAGATCGCACTGGAGGTGCTGGGAGCTCAGTCGGTGGGCGCGTTCCTGGTGCGTGGCTCCACGACTCAGGCGGGCTGCCTGGCGCTCTCGCTGCGCGTCCCGAGGGACTTCGCGCCTCATGGCATTGCGCACTACCTCATCCTGCGCACGCCCAAGGGATACAAGATTAAGGTACACACAACGCAACCTGAGTGATATGCTACATTCATGAAAAATATTGACTCACGTGTTACGGTCTGCTGGGGCCAGTATTATTAGGTATAGGTTTTGAGACATTCCATCTTAATTTTTTAAATTTTTACACGTGGTAGAGCCATGTTGCAGTTATATTATGGATGTAGTAAGAATGGGTCGGCGTCACTGGACCAATAACCAAGCTCTCATAGAATACAATCTAGTTAAATAGAAGTTCAACACCGCTGTGTTTCGTATAGTGAATGTAGAGAACCGGATACCCTAGGAGTATAGATATTATATATAGTGAAAACGCATCAGTATTTTAATTCTTAATCGAAGATAAATGTCGGTTTAGTGCCCGAATAATCGAACGCTGCCAAATTTTAAGAAGTCGTTAAGTTTCGTGCTGTCTCTATAATTTTAAGTCAATCTGACTGTGACACCACGAGACTTAACGACGTCTTAAAATTGAGTAGAGTTTAAGTATTTGCCCATATGGGCCCTAAGGTTAAATTACTAACAGGTTGACTGTGTGCGTGTTTGCCACCCTATTATCAATGACATGTTATTATACAACTATACTTTTATACAAAAGCAACGCTCCTCAAACAAAGCAACCGTTGCAGGGGTTCACGAAGGAGTTCGGTTCGCTGTCGGCGCTGGTGACGCACCACAGCGTGATGCCGGAGCTGCTGCCGGTGCCGCTGCGGCTGCCGCGCGCGCCGCGCCCGCCGCGCGCCGACCTCGAGCCGCTCGAGCGCCTCGCGCCCGCGCGCACCGCTCACCCCCCGCACCCGCCGCACCCACCGCACCGCGCGCAGCTTGACGTCTAGCTCCGCAGAGGTGGGCAGTTGACGACTTCTGAAATTATCTGTAGTACCCGCCCTGGAACTATTGGCATAATATGATTACCTTGCCTCGTGACCGCCCCCCCCCCCGCCTCCCCACCTAATAGACACAGCTAAATGTCTAAATGTGAGCCGTTGATGACACCCAGGGATGATATGGTGTAGCGGCTTTTTTACACCGCAGCAACAAAGCCAATCACATGTTAAAAAGGCTTCGTCAATTGTTTATCCGAACTGGTTCGTGTGGAACAAATGAATGCAACTATCACTCACGACTGATACATAACTAGTTCAATATACGAGTATTATTACAAACTTTAAAATTGTGTTTGTAATGAATGATCAGAATAAATTTTAAAAGCTCGACGCAACTTGGATTTAAAACCGGACAGATCATAACTGCATCCCCGCTGACAAACACACGGTCTTTATTTACAGTGTTCTGAGTGTCCGCTCGATTGTTCACCAAATGTGCTACGCTGCTCACTCCTCGGGCTTCAACACTGTGTGTGAGCGTTATACATCAAGTCACTTCGAATGAAAGACACAACGATGGACCCTTAGAACTGTCATCAAACTTGAAAAGCCGAAGATAATCAGCTATGGCCGAAAGCCTCTCGAAATTTACAACCGGGTACTGGAGTTAATTTCTTCAACTAATTTTAACCAATATAATATGAAGAAAGGATCCATATTTTGTGTTCTTTCGTTTAATTTTCTCCATTGGAACTAAGTCGTTGAATCTGCTATGAAAGTCAGTTGACATGAGATTAAAAAATTGACAATATGTGTAAGTAATTCTTGACATTATCGCCTTCCACTTTATCTAGCACATAATATGCTTACATGTAAGTGATTCGGGCTTGTTAAGTATTTTTATCTGCGGATTTGTGATTTGTTGTGCGTATAAGTGAAGTAAGTGTGACTTAAAATACTTTTAACTCCTAGCCTAGCCCGGCTTTATTTCGAGAATGTTCGGTCTGAAGCCGTTGTAATTATTAATATTTTATACCGTGAAAAAGAAAAATAAGTCCAGTATGTTATGTACAACTATGATATAAAAAAGTATAGACACGCTGCATTATAAAAATATACACTAAAAATTTCGCTACAGTCACAGACACATAATTAGTGATAGAACTGATACTGAACGAATTTTCAGAAATTTCTACGTTTTTTTTTCTACGAATTGGAGTTGTTTTACAGGCTCACTTGCTTTCCTGATTAGGTCTTCTTATCTTAATCTATACTTTTCAATATCATTAGTTAGAAATTGTTTTGTCATTGTCGATTATTATAATGACCCTCATCAAAATTTGTATTCACTCATAAGAAAAGTATGTCACAAACGTACGTAATTATAGATAAATGCAAAATAAAGATAAATACTTCACAATGTTGACATTTTGGAATCTAGGAAAATTAGAAAAAAAAATGAGAAGTATGGTTTGGCCAAGCCAGCGGAAACAAAGGATTGAAATGAAATTTATTGTTGTGGTTCCTCAACAAGCATAAACAAATAAAATTTATTAAAGCTTAAAAAGTGTTTAACGCAGGAGACCATAATTAGAGAATTCTTAACAATTTTGCTTGGAAACTAATGTATGTAGCTAATGACTTATTACGAAATGAATCACAGTATTATGCTTAAAAGCATATTGATTGAATTTAGTACGTTAGTGATTAGCACTGCTAAATATCGTTGGAAAATATATCAGTCGAAATCTTATAGTCATCGTTACAAAGTCACTAAATTATTGTATGTTATCTAGTTACTGTTTGCTAAGATAGCGTTTTTTACGTAATAAAATCATGTGATAAATATCCATTTAGGACGTGTAAAAATATGTAAAATAAATAAATGTGTATATGGATTGTAATGTAATAATAGAATGTTTGTGTCATTTTTCATAGTTTTGAGTATAGAAGGAATTGCTTAGATTATTTTAAAAGAGCTATCACACATTCGTATTGAGGGCACATTTGGATTTCTTTTACATAAAATATACTGCACTACTAATATAATAAATAATAAAAGTATTACGCATATACTTTGTCACTTCGCTCACAGAAACTAGCGTAAAATAGCAGCTTAACGCTGCTGTGTTTCGTATGGTGAGTGTAGAGAAACGGAGACCATTTTTACTGGCAAAGAGGCATTCCATCTTAGTCCTCACGGGTGACAACGCATCTGCATCTTGAGTCTTTATTGAGGATAGATGTAGATGCCTATGGGTCACAGTAACCACTTACCATCAGGTGGACTGTGTGCTCGTTTGTCACCCGATCCTATAAAAAAAAAACTTCGATATTATTTAAAGAAGTGTGAACTAATTCGATGAAACATTTATTAACATTATCCAGTTTGCTTGAAAATTTCTTTTCTATTAATCTTGTCAGAAAATTGCCATACCAACTAATAATATACGACTAATAATAGACGTGAATTCAAATCCTTTTGAATATAATTTTCTATTTGTAATCAAATTAAAAGGTATGTATCTAATTTATTTTTAAAAAGCAACTTTTATGAAAAAAAAAACTAAGTATCGCATTCTCTTTAATTAAAAAAAAATACCATTATGATAAATTTCTGTAGAAATATGTTTGTGTGTGATAGCTCTTTTGCTTATGTTTTATATTTGTAGGTATTTCTAGTCTTACAAACATTTTGTACAGCCACTGGTTTAAATCACACGAACTGAAAACTTTAATCACAAATAAGTGCTTAACTATAGAGAAATGTCTGTATGTAGGAAAGTAATCAGTAGTTATTAAGGCGATTGCTATATTAATATAGAAATGGAACAAGTTGTCTTTAGTGATAACATATTTTTGCTTCGATGGATGCCCAATATTACAAATGTTTGACCACGAGGATAACTAATCTCTAAAAACGTAAATTTCATTACTGACTCAGGGATAAAACTTTTCAAATGTCAGAGAAATGATACATGTAAAAAGAAACTTTCTAAAATTCTTCGTCCACCATTTTTGTAAAATTTATCTGATCGTGTGACTTAGTTGTATGAATTTTGTAAGTAATACTTTGAAGCCATTTTGAAAAATCCTGGCGATGTATCGATATACTGTTGCACTGTTGTAACTTTTCTATTTGATATGTATCATACGAAAACACATTTAAACTTCACGAGTCTTATATTACTACACCACTGGATGTGGGATTTAAGTTGAGATAGACTATCATAGATGCCTTGCTTAGCGGAAGTTGTCAGTACCAGACCTCTATCAGGCTGATTACTTAATAAAGAATTTTAAATATTTTAAAATACGTGATAATATGTTCAATATATAAAAAAAAATCTAATATCTAACAAAAATCACAAAAAGGTTTAAAATAGTAACATATTGATTCTACTATGCTACTTGCAAAATATGATTCATAATTAGTTGTTAAAGATGCTTAATAAGAGACGGCCATAATAATAAGACGATCAATTAAAGTTGCACTGTGAATACAGTGGATTCAACTAAAATATATATTCCAAGATAAATTTCCTCGACATCATGCAGTTTGTTATGTGGACTTCCATCGCTGTATAATTCTGAATGTAAAACACTGCCTTAGGATGATTGCGTATTTATATGATGTTACTATATTAGAACTAGTTTATATTAACGTTTCCATTACGCTGTCTTATCTGTATCAACTGCAACTTGTACGAATATACATACATTCATATTTAGAATGCTTTCTCTATACATACGTACATCTAAAATTTATATTCTCAAACCATTCTCAATTATCTCATAACATTGTAAAGGTTACGAAGTTCGTTAATTTTGTCACTTAACATGTTATATTGGGTATACATAGGATCGGTTTTAGAGAAAAGTCACGCTAGATTCATGAGGTTATATCTAAAACACTTGAGGTGTCCATTCCTTTTGTTTTCAGTAAATATACAACATAACAAAATAACATCATTTGTTAGAATTTAAATTACACAAAACGCTATATTTTTTTTAATTATTATTTAATAGAATCAGTGTTATTTTGCGAAATAGTATGACATTTAACTAATGGCCGATTTTTCAATCCTCAGGTAAAATTCATTCATAGAATAAATAGAATATACACAAATTAAAAATGGTAGTTGCATGAATAAAATAGTCCAATTGTTTAGCTTTTATATTCAGTCAGGTATTTATTCGGTATATATCTGTTTTCTGAAGGTTAAAAAATTGGCCCTTAACAAAAAAATAATTTGCTAGTATCCACTTTGTATATCAGTTTTACCATTGATGTTAATTAAATTACCCTTTGCGTGTAAACTAAATCATTTTCTTGAACAATTTGCTTTGTTCACTTACTTAGCCATTAAGATTTAAATTTAACTATTTATTTTTATATTCAGATTTGCAAAAATCTTCATCATACCTGTAAGTAGTTGTGAATTTCAAACAGTTTTGTTAAGTGACTAAATGTATCTTACAGGAACATAATCACAATCACACAACTTTACCTTTAATTTATTATCTTACAAATAAATAAATACGAATATGATAATATTAAATAATTTGTTTTATTTGAGTTCTTATTGGAGCGGCGTAAGAGAATCCATCATCCATTTTGTCCCATAGTTGCTTTAAGTAGGATGGTTCAAAAATACCTCGAGCCCTGCGAGCAGAGCCCGCATGACGGTAAGTAGATGTAAAAGAAAGAAATGAAGAAAAAATAATTTATTTATTCATTTCTGCAATTTATATAAAAAAAGAAAAACAACAAAATATATAAAAAATATATGGATCGCAGCAACAAAAAGGTCTCCAACTCAACTTAATGCTAAAGTAACAAAATTACCACAGCGCTGATATTTTCTCGAAAGCCACAGCCTATGTGATACATAAACACCTTTTTTGCTCACTGCGGAACGGAGAAGGTCTATACGTTTAGGATTAGAGGTTGTTTGTAACAACAGAATTTTTCATTAAGAGCGCTCGAACTTTTAAATTAAATAAAA